GCATGGGGGGGGCAGCGTGCACACCGCCAGCAGCACCCCACACCCACGTCCCTGCGGGGACACTTGCCCGAGTCCCGTCGTCCTTGGCGCGCTTGATGTTCTGGCGCCCGTCCACCCAGTAGATGGACCGATCCAGGGGGTCGTAGGCCATGGCTCGGACGTTCCTCAGCCCATGCAGCGGCAGGATGAGGTCGGGGCTGTGCTGGTCATCGGGGACCATCCGGCTGATGGCACATTTCTGGCTGAACAGCAAGAAGGCGGTGGGCGCTGGGGGGCAAGCGGACAGGAGGGACAGTCAGCGCCGGGGCAGCGGCGGGACAAGCCTGTCCACGCGCCCGCAACGTGCGTGCAAAGGGCCGGGCTGAGTGCGTGGAGCCCACGCTCCGCCCTGTGCGTGCGGCTGTTGGTCCAGGGCCGCTCAGTGCTGTGCTGCAAAGCTGCCACCCGCCACCTGGACCCACTGAGCAGGTCAGTGACCACCAGGGTGCTGGCAGGCAGAGCTGGCTGGAAACTGCCTTGCCCAGGACGCCTGGGGGCCACTTGCCTTCGCTGTTGGGTGTTTGGGTCCCAGGACCCCCCGAGGTCTGCCGGCGGCAGGAGAGGAGACCCAAGCCACAGGCTGCCCCTCCGGGGGGACCTGAGCCTCAACGGTGGAACAGAGCCAAAGGCAGCAAAAAGTGGGGTCCCACATGTGGCTCCAGGCCTCTCCCACGCCGGTTTGGGCCTCGAAAAGCCTCTGGAAGCCCTGGCCTCCAGGTACCAGGACACGGGGACTGTGGAGCCCGGGGTGGCGCGAGGCCTGAAGGCAAGCCTCTGCCGCCGCTGGACGCCGCCCCGCACGCCCCTGGACGCGCCCCTCATGGGCAGAGCTGTGTGCGAGCAGAGGCCTTGCTGACTCGCAGGGTCAGTGAGGGGGTACACGGTGGGCATGGGGTCGGGAGCGGCTGGGCCAGCGCCTGGACCCAAATCTAGGTCCACCCGACCCGTGTGGCCGTGGCTGGTTACCACGCGCCTCTGTGCCCAGTGCCCAGTCCGGAAGCGGGACAGCGACATGCCCGACCCGGCAGGCGTCCGCGGGGCACTGAGACCACGACCACCCCCAGGCGCTCTCCCCGCTGAGACGTGCAGCTGAGTTCCCGCGAAGCCACGGGCCCGCTCCAC